GAGACTCTTCGCCAGAGAGCAGGCAGGAGAGGTTTCCGATGAACGGGACACCGGAGCGACGATACCGAGTTGAGCGGGACTCTTCCCCTGACAGCAACTACAGCCGGGAGGAGCTGAACTATGCAGCAGCACCCAGACTGAAGGATTACTACGGCATGATGAAGAACAACGCTGCACACAACAATGCTGCCTACAACAACACGGGCCATAACAATAACGCAGCAGGCCGCAGCCCAAACCAGCTCCCTGAGCCCAAGAGAAGGCTGTACAAAGAAACCCCCAAAGACCTCAGCATCTAGAGCAGAGACCCCCCTCGCCACTCTCTCCTCTATCTGTGCAAACTATGTACCATACACTGGAATTGGACTTCTGAGGATACTAACTCTTGTGCTTCATTTGGTTGACCGATTTATTTGAATGATTTGATTAACTTAACTACTTGTGATCCTACCCAGAGATTCATAAAACAGCAGGAGTACAATCCTATTATCAGTTCATACTGGTTGTTTCGTCATTGTTATAGTTATTTTGAACATAACAGAGGTTGTTGTACTATAATAAAGGTATTGTATGTGCCTGCATATGAAATCAGTGATATTGCTTTTTGTAGGCATTGCTGAATCTAAATATTTGTTCCCTCAGAGGTATGAAACATGCTTCCAGTTGTGGTATCTTCTAACTACTAAGCTTGTTTTCAACTTGTTTTTAGATGTCTGTTCCATTCCTGAATTGCTTTACTGAACAAACTATAGCACAAGACACTGATGGTTCACAAGTGAAAGTCACGTTGGACTTCAGGCAAAAATCTAAATTTAAGATCTGATGGTGAAACTAGAGTGATAATTATATAATTAATATATGACTGTGTCATTTGCTCACTATTTATTTTTAATTTGGCACATATATTGAGCAAGCTCAATTTCTTGAGGACCAAGGTAGAAGTGCACACTGTACCTGGAAAAGCATGCTGTACCCTTACTTGTGTTGCATCCCTGAAATGTGTGGCAGCTCACCCTCCTTTGCCTAAATACTCACACACATACACTTCTAAAATTAAGAATAGAGATCAGACAAAATTGGCAATGTTGTTAATAATTGATCCCTTGGAGGAGGATTTTAAAATAAAAATGAATACTCGCATTGTTTCCCAGTTTGAACTGATGTAGCAGGGGAGTAACCCGACTCACTTTTAAATACAGGCAAAACGGTTTTGGTAGATTGTTGTGGAAAAATCTAAATTTGTTAAAAAAAAAAAAAAAATGTTTTACTTAATATGAGTCTGCATTTTGCCACAATACCAGCTTGAAGCTGCCATAAAATATGATTTTTCAAATATGCCAAAAAAAAATTGAAACACAAATGTGTAAATTAATCCTGTGCAAGATGCATGTGTAAATTTAAGTGTAGTTTAACCACTTTATCTGATAGGTCTGAGCGAGAATAATCGATAAGAAACATGCACTGTACTCCCACAGTAAGTGTTAGCCCTGTCCCCATGGTAACCACACTGCGCACCGACCACCTCCTGGGTCCTGACACAAAGAGCTGATGTGGTTTCTTGTGTTGGTAAATATGGAGTCGCGGTACAGGAGACAACCAATCTGCCATGCTGAGCCATGCTGTCACGCCACTGGAGTCTGACTGCTGCTTTATAATGTGTTTGTGTGTATTCTCCGTTTTATGTTTCATTAAAAAAAAACTAAAATATATTGGATAAACCACAACAAATGCATTGTTTGATCACTGTTGTCGCCATGGTACTGTATTAACAAAAAAGTAGAAAAAAAAGGAAATACATTTAAGAAGTTAACCTGTTGGCCATCACCTGTAAAGAATTTTCCAGTGTAACTATTAGGAACCTGTCAAGGATTAAAATGTTGCCTTTTTCTTGTACAAAAGAGAAATTTATGAAAAACCTCAGCAGTGAGGAATGTGATATTGTGTTTATATCTCTGAAATGGACCTGATGATTTATGGGAAATATGTTAATTTACTCTGGATCAGGTATGTAAAGACATTTTAAAAGACTGTATTTGGTCAATCAGAAACTGTTTGATGGTTTGAATCTCTCTCGATGGTTAGCCTGCCTTTGTATTATAAAGCACTTGTATGCAGTCTGTGTTCTTCAAGCATTATTTCTTGCAATGTGCTCCGGACATAATGCTGTCTCTGTGTTGATAAAAGCAGTACATGTATATGGGCCAATCTTTTTTATAAAACTATGCATATATAAATACTACATTGTTCATAGCTTTATTTGACCCATGAAGCTATACATAACATTAGTCTAAGTACAAGTAGATGTGGACTTATCCAGCTTCTTTCCTTGAGATGGATTACAATGTATATGTAGCTATCAAAAGAAGTCTGTGAATGCTATTTTTATTATCAAATAAAGTTTTCCATACAAATTCAAAAGGATTTCATATTTCTGCACAACCGTTTTTCAGTAATGTCTCTGGAGAGTTTGATCAATCTTTTTGATCAAATCACTCTGGTGTGTCACTCCTGGTCACACTACGTTTTAATATGCAGCTTTAGAGACTTTCTTTTATTGAAGATCGACACTGGAGGAGAATGTACTACATTTAATAATGACTTTACAACGGTTCAAACTTAAATCAAAATAGTAACATGGAAATGTAAAACATTTAAAGATGTTAAAGTATCGGCTGTCAACCGCATGGCTTTTCTTGTCTACAACATTGTCTCCCTCCTTACACTCCTGGAGGTAATATTTTGTTATTGTTACGATAGTAGTCATTGTTGCAATAACACTAATCATTCCACTGATACTTCATTACTTCAAATGGTGCAGTGTAATAATAATGATAGTACAAATTGACAGATTAATGAACACTGTTCCGAACCATACTAATATTAAAACTGGTTTTGAATGGTATTTTGATTGGGAGAACAGTAAAGTATAAGTTGTCATCCGTCCAATACTCTTTAATTAACTTCATTAAAATGTTAGAGCATGTATTTTTTCTTTTTTAGTTCTAGATTTAAGCAGCGAGTGATTGATTTTTTCTCTCCATTAAGCTTTACTTCAGACTGCTCTGAGGTATATCTGTATTCCATGAAAGCTCCACTGGTAAAATGGTTGCTATAGCTACAGTACACATGAAGGTCATTACTGGAGAGATCTTAGGGTTTGTTTTGCTCGAGTCTGGCATACTGCACAACCAGGAACTGAGTGGGAGAAATCACGTCATCACACGAGTTAACGTCTTTCATCTTAGTGGTACAATTTAACGCTACATCTGTGAAATATTGAAGCCATGAACCTGTGCAGATCTCAAGTGGGTCTCATTCATAAACTAACCGCAATATCTATCTAATATGCACATCTAATACAACAGGAAAACTTGTTGTTAATATGCATATCTAATACTCTAAATAGGTTTTCCTCTTTATTCTGAAAACTGATTGAGAAATGTACAACTTTTCCAAGGATTCTTCCAACAACTGATCCTTCAGTAACACTTTTCTCTAAGTCCCCCTAGAGGGCACTTATTAGCTGCCTGCCTAAGAACTTTGACTACATAATGTAATACACACTACAGTATACAGCAAAGAGGACATATTTAAAGTGGACCTATCATGCTATATTTGAATAATATAGTGTAGGACCATACCTATATAAGGCATATTTATACTTTTTATTTTTCAAAATACCAAACAGATCATGCATTTTAGCCATTCCTCATTTCGCTCAATTTAACACTGTCTTTGCATGGGCTGATTCTGTGAGAACAGCACCATCTACAGGCCTGGCCTATGTACTACAGCGTCTCCAGCGCTTTTGAACGGCAATGTCCGTGGCTGTCTCCTCCTGATTGGTGGAGTTGGCCCAATAGCCGAAGCGCCACTTCTGTGACGTCATAGAAGTGTTCAAATCTGGATCAGTCTGTATCAGATCCGTTGCAGCCCCTTTTTAAGAGATTTGGGTATGGAGGAAAATAGAGAGGGTTGTGTTTTCTGACACTTGGTGAGTTCCCTGGAACACCGGGGACACATATTCATGTATAAAAGACGTACAAAAGTGCATATTGCATAATAGGTCACCTTTAATGTTAACTATTTGTTAGCAATCATAACTGGTAGCACAGTTCAAGTATTTTGCATTAGTAAGCAAAATACAAAAATGTAACAAATGGTTTATTACACTATAAACTGAATCACTGACAGCTCTTAGAACATTTTAAGAGTTTATTAATGTAAAGCATTATATCATATATTATACTCCCCCTGTGAATAAATACATTGTAAGTTTATAAGTACCGGTAAGTCATTGTTTCCATTCCATAACCTTTGCATCAAGGTGTCTCTTGATAATACTGTTATCCGATAATCCTAATCTAATGACGAATATTAATCACATTAAATAAAGGTTAACTACAAAGTTGGTGTCACATCTATAATCATCCTTGATTAATAATGTCATAATTCCTTAGGTAGGCCAATTCTTAAATTCAAGGTGCCCTGTGATTGAAATAACACCAGGAGTAGCAATGCAGATGCCGCTACAAAAGAAATTAAAAACGCTATTCTCAATTTTTCTATTTCCCAAATATCCGCACCAAAAAGCTCTGTATCAGAAGAGCACTAGTTGTACTATAAAAGCTCTTTTGCCCCCCACATTTTAAATAAAACATGCAACAGAATGAGTCATTTGCAAAGTGCGTTTTATTTTACATTGCCTTGGTAACATGCGTCTACATTTAAAAATAAGCCGGTATCATATGATCCAACTGTAAAAGATTTTTTCCCTTTCCTCTTGGAAAAAATACATTTTTAAGTTGGATATTCTGCAAATACAGAACAACTCTGTTATGGCCAGACCTTTCCTGCAACTGTCTTTAGGTTGAACCAACACATTTGTAAAAATACAAAAAGGAGTTATTTCTGTAGACATTAGGCTTCAGTCGTTTTACCAGGGGAGCAGAAGTCTTCTTCTTGGATATTGGATCATGGAGCCTGTGTCAACGGTCCTTTTATGCAGGAGACACCGAGCTCGTGGATACAGACGAAGCCTCGGTCTTAGTAGAGGACGCTCCTTCCTCCTCCTCAAATGGATTTTTACCGCAGCACAAGGTGGTGATCATGCAGTGGCGGAACTGCTTGTTCATGCAGATGTAGATCATTGGGTTGTAGACGGAAGAACTCTTGGCAAAGAAGGCCGGGATGGTCATGAAGAGTGGTCCGAACTCAGCTCCTTGATTGCAGAAGATCCACATGGCCACACTGGCATAGGGAACCCAAGACACCAGGAAGGAAAGGACCATTATTACTACCATCCGGCTGACTTCCCTCTCAGCCCTCTGGGTGGTCTCAGACTCCTGCTGGGCAGCAGCAGCCTCTTTGACAGCACAGAGTAGACGGCCGTAGCAGAAAGAAATGATAATCATTGGGACCAGGAAGTGGCAGACAAACATGTAGATAACAAAGGACTCATTGTTGAATCCTTCTGCACGTGTGTAGTAGTCGATTCCACATGAGCACTGCATGCCCTCAGGGATGTAACGAGACCAGCCGACAAGAGGGGGCACAGCACAAGCTGAAGCCATCACCCAAGCGAAGCCCAAACCCATGATTGCGTGATCCTCCCCGAAGCGGAAGCTACTGATGGGCTTGCAGACAACGATCCACCTTTCAATAGCCAGGACAACCAGTGACCAGAGGGCAATCTGGCCACCAAGGGTAGCAAAGAATCCTTCAATATTGCAGCCGAGGCGTCCTAGGACGAAGTAGCCGTGCATAGAGCTGTACATGGTGGTGGTGAATCCTCCAAACACCATGAAGAGGTCAGCCACAGCAAGGTTCAGCAGGATGTAGTTTAGAGGGGTACGCAGCTTCTTGTGTTGGATGGTGACAAACAGAGTGAGGAAGTTGATGGGGAAGCCAATAAGGATGAGGAAGAACATGTAGGCACCCAGGGCGGCGTAAGCTGCTGGGTTGACAAGGTAGTACTGAGGGTATTCATAAGGACTCCTGACAATGCCAGTGGTGTTAAGCATAGGGATGTAAAAAAATGGTCCCTCTGTCCCGTTCATGTTTGCGGCTTGCGGTTTCAATCAGCCCTTCAGTTTTGTTTCTTGGATGGAGAGGACCCTGCTACATGTGGATCCTGGTGGCCAAGGTCTGGCTTTTAAAGGCACACCTTGGATTATCCATTTGTATGTCTGTCAGCATAACGTGATTTAGGCCAAAGTTAATATCTAATCCAGCAGCCACTGCAAACATATCTGACAACTCATCAAGATATCAAGGTTACTCCTGCTCATGCATATTATGGAGATATTGATAACTGCTTTTTTAAGTACCTCATGCTTAAAAAGTAACCTTTTCATGTGCACTTTATTTAAAAAGATGCTATTTAGGGCTACTTTTTCTGGGCACATAAAACAGTCGGGGTTTCTCCATATTTGCATGAATTTCCTTCAGACGCTCCCAACTCCCAAAGCGAAAAAGTCCAGATGTAGGCGATCATAGATTTTTAAATATCACAGGAGCATTAAAAAAGTATGAACTCTAGTCTATATGAAACACAAAAATCCCTCATATATCTTCTAAAAAACAAACAAGATTTTTACTAATACAAAGAGCTGTTTAGTACTGTTACACTTTTTTAAATTAATAATAATTTTGACATTTTTTGTATCATTTTTGGATAAATTATCTTTTGGTTTTAGAAGATTTTTTTTTTTAAATAGGGTCAAAGGACTTTTACAATTTCTGAAAACCCACAGTAATGTTGTTTATTTGCTTGTTTTGTTTCCAGTCCAACATCTTGATGTACTGTCATATGCCAAATAGTGTGATAAAGTACATTTGTATCCTTCTTATCATTATCATTCTGTAGATATTTCTAAAAGTTGAATTGCATTTCAGGCCAACGTTTTAGCTGCAATACAAGCCATGTTTAACCACAGATATTCTTTACAGAGATTTCAATTTCAATATTCTTGCACAGTAGTGTCCTGGCCATGATAGCAGCAAACGATAACCTCAAAAATGTCTTCAAATATATGGTCACCTGTATTCAATTTGTACTGTACTGAATAGAAAGCAGAGGCACTAGTGTTGCTGAGTGCTGGCGCATCTTAGCTATCGGTAAAGAGCTTAGTACTTTCCTACTGGGTGTTGTATAAAGAGATTTGGGGCTTAGGGGTGTGCTACTTTCACAGGCCTGTAATGGATTTAATGTTGCAGAGCGTCACTATTGCTCAGTGGGTTGTTGCCTTCTTTAGATTTGATATGTTCTTTTAAATATTTTGTATTGGTTGCACGTCAAAATAAAGCTTTAACAATCCATGACTTAGTTAAAGTATTTATGAAGAAGCAGCTGGTTCTCTTTGACGGCCTGATATGGTGTAAGTGACCATAGAAAGTCACGTTTAAGCCACGTTGAAGCATTTTCAGTGAATGGCTTGCATTTTCTCTTTCTAAAGTTACCTCTTGATGGTTTGGCCATCACATACAGTGGGGCAAAAAAGTATTTAGTCAGCCACCAATTGTTCAAGTTCTCCCACTTAAAAAGATGAGAGAGGCCTGTAATTTTCATCCTAGGTATACCTCAACTTTGAGAGACAAAATGAGAAAAAAGAAATCCAGAAAATCACAGAATTTATTTGCAAATTATGGTGGAAAATAATTATCTGGTCAATAACAAAAGTTCATCTCAATACTTTGTTATATACCCTTTGTTGGCAATGACAGAGGTCAAACGTTTTCTGTAAGTCTTCACAAGGTTTTCACACATTGTTGCTGGTATTTTTGGCCCATTCCTCCATGCAGATCTCCTCTAGAGCAGGGATGTTTTGGGGCTGTCGCTGGGCAACACGGACTTTCAACTCCCTCCAAAGATTTTCTATGGGGTTGAGATCTGGAGACTGGCTAGGCCACTCCAGGACCTTGAAATGCTTCTTACGAAGCCACTCCCAAGGCACAC